AATAATAATAATAGCAGCTTCCACCCAGTCTCCATGTCATGGTTGGAAGGTTTCATTACCTTTCTATATTATCAAGTTTATTTACAGCTTCTACAAGTGGTACAAAGAAAAAGGATCACTTAGAGAAGTGAAAAGATCTAGCTAGCACAATCCCCAATCTGATATTTGGGCCAATAGAGTTACTTTGATCAATAAAGTTTTCTAGACAGCAAGACTAGCTTTTTGCAGCCAAACCCCAAAAGTGTTACTAAGTGTTTTACTATGTTCATAAGTAATTGCCTAAGCATGAGATGGAAAAGGATCCTAATGTTTAATTAATAAATGATGAAATCTTCTTTATGCTGCTATTCATGATTATAAAAACTAACAGGGTACTGTATTTGGGCTGGAGTTCAAAGCCTTCAACCCAACCTACCTTGGTCAGTTTGTGGGGATAAAATGTGAAAACCCAAGTGTATACCAATCGCATCTTGCAGAAAGTGCAGGGTATTCAGATAAATATCATGTGTTAGTCATTTCTTAACCCAACCGTGAATATACCATTGAAGTATGATTTCTCTACACATATCTCATTTTAGGCCTAAAGTAAGAATGGAATGATGAAGAACACATTTTCTCTCCCCTGCCCCCTGTCATGGCTGATTTATTTTGGTTCTAAGCAGTTCTGTGTTTGAGGAAGATCCATGCATGACAGTGAATAAAATCATGTGGATATAATACACTCTAATTTGGGGGTCTCTTATCTGGCTCTATACTTCTGTTTTCACTATCAGGAAGTATAAATGGGTGGATTTGTCAACATAGCAGACGACAGAGATAGGACAAGATCACAGGAGAAGTGTGCAACCCAGTCTGTAAGGGGAAAGTGAATGTTTCAAGGTTTGTTTTCAAAGCTACTGTTTAAATTTAAACACACCAAATGAAAGGGGGAAAATCTGGATCTCCTAGTGTAGCCTATCTTAATTGTAACCATAATTTGGTTTTCTTAAATCATTTGTGCATCATCACAAGAGCTGGAAAGGGGGAAAATCAAATCCTTCCCCATGAAATCAACAAAAGCAAACACAAGGAGTATTGCATGGATACATAAATAGTTTTTGACACCTAAGCATCAGCTTCAGGCTTCTACCCAGGACACAATCACCATCTCTACCAAATGTTCTTTTAATATATTAGTATCCATGAATCTAACTTGACAGCAGAAAAGCTATCCAAAGAAGGACAATGTATTCTAAGTTAGAGCTGCCTTCTTCATTGCAAGAGTGGGCTATGAACACTATGCTACTAAAATAACAAACAAGCAATTAAAAATAAATTATAGTGAACTGTAAAAGCGTTTCTGCTACTTATCACAGCAGTCTGTAACATCCTGTTCATGAAGAAAAAGATGATTTGTTTTTGTCTTAGCTGGTCTAAATCTGATTCTAGAGTAGTCAACTGCACTAAGAATTACTCCAATCCTCACATGACTTTAACTACTGTATTACAATTAAAGTCTATTGAATGCAACCCATATTGATCTCAAACAGGACTAAAATGCTCTTAAGCCAAAGCAGTTCAGTTTACCTCTGTGGTGGAAGGGAAGGTTCCCATAAGAGACAAGAATAATGAGGTCACCAAATTCTCATTTAATCTCTGACATGTTGTTTTTAAATTGCTTTGAAATTATTGGTTCATTATAATACTAAGAGTAAATGAGAACAAGCAATTTTTCTGACAGTACAGAACAATGACGAATGTGCCATTGTTATTTATGATCATAAATCTAGTTGCTCTGTTGAACTAAGCAAACATGCTCGCTTGGATGTTTGTGGTACTCACATAAAGTTTATGCCACTTAAAGGTAAAGGTTCCCCTTGACAATTTTTGTCCAGTCGTGTTCGACTCTAGGGGGCGGTGCTCATCCCCCTTTCCAAGCCATAGACCCAGCGTTTGTCCAAAGACAATCTTCCGTGGTCACATGGCCAGTGCGACTTAGACACGGAACGCTGTTACCTTCCCACCGAGGTGGTCCCTATTTATCTACTTGCATTTACATGCTTTCGAACCGCTAGGTTGGCGGGAGCTGGGACAAGCAACGGGTGCTCACTCCGTCGCGTGGATTCGATCTTACGACTGCTTGGTCTTCTGACCCTGCAGCACAGGCTTCTGCGGTTTAGCCCACAGCGCCACCACGTCCCTATTATGCCACTTGCCTCAGCTAATTGCAGCTGACTAATGTGGTACTGGAGTGTAATTTTGTTTGCACTGTTGGGCATGTGACCAGATATGCAACTGAGAGGTGGCCTTGCACCTTGTAAATCAGCCACAATTAGCTGTGGCAAGGTATACAGGTTTTATGGGAACACCAATAAGATTCTGCCTATCAATATACCAAAAGGTTTTACAGGTTTGAATTGGCAAAGAGACAATTATGCATTTGTATAGTTGTTAGCTGCCCTATGACTTTAAATCCAATTATAAATGGCAAGGAGATACAGATTTTGTGAGTAAATGGCATTAATAGTTCTAACTGGATTTCTAGGCTAAATCAATTATTTTAATGAAAGGATAAGTAGAAAAGGATAGGGTGGAACAGAAATAAGCACATTTCTATTAAGTTATACTTAAGTTATACTTAAACACGTCTTTTAAAAAGCCTTTAAAAAAAAAAGTTTTACTTCTTTATCTTTTAGTATTTTTGCTTAAGGATGAACTACATGGTTACCCGTCCTCACAATATATCTCCTTCATCCTCCCTGTCTCTTGGTAGTGAGATCACAAGGACTTGTCCTGTACAACCTCGACTTCCTGGGATGTTGTCCAGATGAAATTTCTCTGAGCACATCAGATCAAAGGCCGAATCTTTTTTGGAGATATACTTTAGTGTAAAACTACAGAGAGCAAGCCTGAGATCAAGCCTTTATACACTTCACAGAGGAAGAAATGATAAAGGCTCTTCGCTTACTCTCAAATAATAAGAAGAGTTTCATCTCAATTTCCTTTTTATATATATATTTATCAAAAATTATAAATTTCTGTATAGTTGGATGGAGAGAATCTGAAAGTAAAAAACTTGGAATGTTCAAAAAACGAAAGCCAATAGTTTTGTACACCCAAACCCAGGGTTTGAAATGACGTGTCTTCAACCACTGCTAATTTGGGGCTGTCAACTCTTCTTTCCAAGAGGCTCTTCCCCCTTTATAATGTACAATGCGGGCAAACACGACATGGTTCTCTCCACACTGATAATAATTGCATCTCCTGAAACAGTGCAGATGGCTACCAGTTTTGTTTCACTTCACTTCTAAACCAAGATCTTTTGAAAAGGCAGAATCACACAAATTATCTGAGCCAGTGATATTGCTAGTTATAGCATCATAAAGGAAGGACAAAGTTTATTGCTAAAGGCCTACCAGCACTTTTACTGATAAAAGAAACAGGCATACTCATGTGCAACACAGACAAAATAATACTATACTGGGATTACAATGCATACATGTCTACAGAGGAGACTGGCAAAAACCATTTATTTCCTTACTTGGCCTGGTTCTCTGGAACAGATATATGTTTCTAATATTACCCTTTCCTCTATCATGAAGACCTAACTAAAATCAAATTAAAGAGTTATTAAAATGGTGAAACCACTTCACAAAACAGAAATTTTATGAAACAATCTCAGAAATACAGAAGCAGGCTGGCACAAAAACATCGCTGGGCACAATCATGTCTTACCTCAGCTTTTATCTTATTGTCTCCAAAGCAGAGATGCTGTAAGTAGGCAGCAGCATTGGATTGTACAGAAGGGAACTGATGCTGTAACATTTGGATAACCTCTGGAAGTTCTGGATCTCTCCATCCGAACTCTCTGCATACAAAAACAACCAAGAAAGGATTCAGCAATGGTTGTAATAACTGATAGCAGGATCTGTTGCTGTTGAGGTGTAAGTGGTTTAAGCCAACAGAAAATAAATTGTGGGATTTACTGGTTTCACTGCCAGAATGATCTACCACAGGAAGGTAGGTTTCACTTGATTTGTTTTCTCAGTATTCTATTATTCTAAAATAATAGAAATGAAATGCACTATAGGAAGCCCTGATAAAGATTAAGAAACAACAAAAATAGCAAATTATGCAAAAACACAGGCATGCTTCTCAGTGACACTGAATAGAACCAGTCCTAAGTATTGGATTTACGGTGAGAATGGGTAATGGAGAGAGATAACAGTTCTTTCCACTTTGGTCTTCAGACTTTCACTATGTCTATAAGCATACAAGAACTTTATGCCCTCTCTCTTAATTGGTTTGTTTTGGTTCTTCTTCATTTTTGCATTCAAGAAAAAAAATGGTGTTTTAACATTATGTCTATAAAGGTAGGATTTAGCATGATTGAAGAAAACGTCTGAAAAAACCGTAATTGGAGAAGATCATGTTTATACAGACAAGAGCATGCTTGTGACCAGATGAAGTGGACCAACTAAGGATAAAATAAACACTATAGAACAACTGAAAAACAAAGAAAACTGCAAAACCCAGACAGATGGTTGATTCAATCCTTATACACACTTCAGGTTTGGAAGCAACACAATTAACTAGTTCTCTGAAACATTCATTTTTTTTAATTAAAAAGATTGCACCTGTTAAAAAAAGAGAGAAGGAATACCTGAGTGGCAACACTACATTAACCAATCAGGTTGATAAGTATTATACATTATTACCACTTTGACCATAATAAAGTTTTATCTATCTTATACCAGAGATGTTAGGCCTTAAAATTTTGAGCAATATGATTTGCTGTGGTTGCTATCTCACGTTGTATTGTCTTTCTGCAAAACAACGGCTACATCCCCTCAACACTAAACCTGACTATGAGCACACACCTTCACTTCTACTTGTTTCTCACTTCAGCACAAGCAGGAAAAATTACTACAAAATAATTACACGTGAAACAGGTCATTCCCAAAACAAGTAAGGATTTGGAAGCCAACCATCGTTTAAAACTGGATTATTTTCCTGGCATGTTTGGGAACAATTGACCATAATTACTGGTGGCTTCCTGGTTAGTTTTTTCCTATGCTATGAAAAACAAAATGAAATGAAACAAACGACATTCCTCTGTATATTGCTTGTACATATCCTAGTTTGCTATGCCAGGATTTGGGGCTTGGCATTGCTTTCCTAACACAGTTAAGAATTTGATTCAACATGAGTGTTCTCTGAATTGACTCCTTCAATTAAATACAGTCATGCCTCGCTTTACGATTGCCCCGCATTACGATGAAACCGCATTACATAATGTCGGAATGCGAGGCACCACTATAACTAAATAAGTCAAATGGAGAATATGAAGTAGCAATTCCAACTATTTATGTTTTATTATACCATATTAAAACTGAATAGTACACCACTGTTGCACTTTTCAGCCAGTTATGTCCTACATTCTTTTCTATTTCACAGCAACCTCAACAAATGGAAAGCTCCCATGGATAGAGAAAGCTGTCCTCTTCAGAACACCACCTTTCCTATATAGAGGGCAAAGAAAGGAGAAGCAAAAGGGAGCAGCACTAGCATGTTCCCACTTCTTGCTTACTGAGCAAACACTTGAATGGAACACCTGAACATAGCAGTCTACATTCGTGCCCTAACCTTTCTTCTAAGACACCTATAATTGGCTTTTTAGTTTGAGAATTAGTTTGTCATTCTGTAAAGGGAAGATAGTTACAAAGAACACAAATTCATTGCTGAATGGAATGCATGGCTGCCTGTTCCTGGTTGACAGAACTCTAGGCATTTAACCTTAGTGCTATAAGCTAGACATAATAGTGTGTAGCGCTAGGCATAATTTGAAAGCCTTCTGGAAGCAATGAGTTCAGATCTCTGTCAAGCATGGTCTCCCTCTCTTTTCTCTCACTCCTTCCAGCAGATATGCAAGCAAGAACAAAGAGAGGGGTGGGGGTGAGGAGGAGAGGAATTAAAGTGATCAGGGCACCCGTTCATTCACTTAGTCACTCATCCTATATATAAAAAGTACTTGGTAAGTTTTTATGAAGTTGTAAAACGGTAAATGAAATGAAAGAATAATTTTGGCTGCATTCATTGTGGACAATGTATGCGAATTACATGTAGTTTACTTGCTGCTTTTTTCAGCCATTTGGTACGTAAAACGCACACACACACACACACACACACATACACACACACACACACTATTAAGCACTATTTTTAGCATGAAAATAAAAACTCAATAATTTACTTCTAAGTTCTTGACTATATCACACAGAATTGTCTGAGAAGCAAAAGCAAAACGTTTTGTACTGAAACCGTTTCTAGGCACTGGTGGAGGAAAACACTGCCCAGTTAGAGTGGATTTACAAGAATTAGTATGAAAATTAACAAAGAATGCAGTAGAATTTTTCCCAATGGGTGGGAATACCACCATGTTTCAAGGTTTGATACAGACTGTGGAGTATGTGTATCCTTTTATGTGTTGTTTGAAAATGACTAAGCAACAATGAATGACTTACTTAAAGTTATAAAAACAGAAAAGTTTAATTAGGATTAAATGCTAAGACGCCTCTGGTGAAATGTTCAGATGCTTTTCTCCATCTCAGTCTCACCATACTGGTGCCCTCTAAAAGAAGCTCTGGGAGATTTCCCACTCCTCCAGCACCGATTTTGGGGACCAAAGAGGGAACGTGCAATGGGGATGGATCAGCCAGATTCCACTAGCAGAAGTCCCTGAATGGATTTCAACAGTCTCAATATGACAGCCATTTCAAAAATGAATAACAGAAGTTGGTTTCAGGTGTTCTGAAATACTCAATCACACATCTTTGTAATAATATTTAATTTGTCAGTATTATTTGCAATATATTATTTGGTGCACATCCATTATTTGTAATATATTATTTGTCAGTATTATTTTAATTTGTCAGTACCATTTATCAGTATTTACATCTCTGGATGGAACACCAGAGCAAGGGGAGATGGGCATATAATAGTATATTATAAAGAAAATACTCTTCCATCGAAGACTGCTATCTGCTTCCAAGATTTGTAAGCTACATACTAAAACTTCTTCAAATACTAATGGGGGAACAGTATAAAACATCCCCCCTAGCACCTGGAGACACCAAATTTTCAGGGGAGCTTCTCCTGATTATTCTCTACAAGTATTCTAGACAAGTATACAGTGGGGTCTCAACTTACGAACGGCTCGACATACGAACGTTTCGACTTACGAAGCGCTCTCATAGGAATATATGGACTCGACTTACGAACTTAGACTCGAGTTACGAACTCTTTTTTTCCTTTTTTTAAAAGCTAAGTCATCTTAGGTTAAAAGGAAAAAAGAAAAAATATCCCCCTCTAGTGGCAGAAGGCAGAATAGCAGCTTCCCATTAGTTTCTATGGACGAAAAGAGCAGATACGGATTAAATGGTTTTCAATGCATTCCTATGGGAAATGCAGATTCGACTTAAGAACTTTTCGACCTGAGAACTGCCTTCCAATACGGATTAAGTTCGTAAGTCGAGACCCCACTGTATTGGAAAACATATTGCACTTTTGAAGCAACTTAAACATGCTGTCCTCTTAATTATTTCTCTTCCAATAAAGAATCACTGGCTGGCAACCAGAGTCTATTCTACAGCACCTTGGTTGAGGAAGAAAAATAGTTCAAGCAAAACGCTCTGTATCTGGTAGCTGGAAGTATCAAAAGGAAACAACCTCAGTTCTTTCCTTTCCACTGAGATCTCTCCCTCCTGTTGCATCTGGGAGACAGGCTAAGCATTAGGGATTCAGAAGCTCACAGGGAGAGAAATAACTCCAGCTTGTACCAGTGAATGTAATTAGCACCTCATCCTACATTTTCGAAGAATCTCAACCACTAACTCCATCTCTAAACCAGGCATGGGGAAGAAATCCTAAAGCTGGAGTCCTCCTTGATTAACAGCACTATATCCAAAGGGAGGAAAGTGTAGGCCATTGTTTTCATGGATAAGTTGGAAAGCTGCAGTATTTCTGGCCCTCCTTTCATAACATATACTGTGCCCACAATCCTAGAAAAACAACAGCACGCAGTATTTTACATCTCCATGCACTAAACAGGATAATCAATACCAACACTATTTGCGATGGCGAGTAGTAGAATTTTACATTTTTCTTTGTAAAATTAAGAAATAATTTATTCTACCTCTAAGAAATGGAGGACTCTAAAATCCTAAACGCTGGTTCTAATCACCCTGAGAAAAACAGATTCGGATTATCCAGTCTTTGCAGTAGCAAGCTGCCACTGAATTAATTTAGGTGAAAAAGAATCTTAAGCAATACAAACCTTTACCAAATATAGTGAATAAAACTACAAATAAAAATACACTACTGTTGCCATAAATAAGCAAAACTGTCAGACTCTGAAGTAGAACATTATCTATCACCTTACATTCATTTCTCTCTCTGTAGTAGTATGCAGGTTTACAGTCAAAATCTGTTCTGAAGAAGGATCTATTCTCCAAGTCTGTACAGCAAAAATCATTTGAGACAAGAGCTCCATCAAACTCTAATGATCAAAAGGGTCCCCTTCATGCCATATAAAGGCTTAGACCTAATTGCTCTTCTTTGGGACTCAGAGCAACAGTTGCCTTATCAAATGAGTGCCAGTCATCCTTATCTTCAAATAAGATAAAATTTAAAAAAAGAAAGCTGGGGGGGAAATGAGAGTTTCCTTCAGGTATATGCGGGAAAGGAAGAGAACGTAATTAATCTAAGGGCCCAAGTGTCTGAATACTTGACACTTTGTCCACAGATGGGAAAGTTAGTAGAAATGTTTAACAGTTTAATCAACTGATGTAAAGATCACAATCTGATGTT